AGGACATGACAGTCCAGCAGATCTCCTTTGATCAGTGTCCAGCCCCAAGAACCCTTTGATGGTCTTCATTCGCATATCAAACAGCACGGGCAGCTCACGATATTAAGGAACCTTTACATCAAAGATGTATCATAGATGTCAATTATTTTAGCTTCCAACACTGAGTGTCTCCTCATTAACATACAATGTCTTCAGGGTTTTGAAGAAGTAAAGCCAGGTACACAGGGTATGAATTTCGGCTGTTTCCTAATGAGCAAGCCAAATTTCACACAGTGGGTGCCGCTGTCGACGCTCTTCTGCCGGGCATCTCTTGATCAATTGGAAAATTCTCGGTCGAATGGAGCTTGAGCTGATCAGCTGCCAGCTCTGTTTTGGGTATTCTGATAGCGGCTGGTCAACTACAATACAAACAGTGACGCATTAATTCATCAATGCTCGTTATCGTTGATGGAGGAATCTTTTATATTTTATTTTCTTTGTTCAACCTGCAGGCTCAACGAAGAATATACAAGTGTGTATACCCTCTCCAAATGTTTGTTGTAGCATGTCCTTTCCAAACTGATTCTTGAATTGGAGTGTCTGGGTTTATTATACCTAGCTGGTGGGTTTCCGGTGTTGTAATAGGGAAAGGTGCAGTGTCGACATCCCTTTAGTAGTAGTCAACCTTAAGGAGTATCTCGCCAAAAATTAAATTCCTATTGTTAGGGATTCCAAAAAGTATACTTGTATCTTAGTGCAGACTTCTGGGAATGTCAATCAGCCATTTGCAGAGATTGGCTGACTGATTTTCTAGCTGAAGTGGCCTTTCTGGGGGAGTTCTGTACACCAACTCTGTACAGAATGCCTCCAGGTTGCCATACTGATTTTTTTTCCGCCAAGTGTAGAACATTACAGTGGCTACAGTTTTAAATGGAAAGGTTTTTAATTTTTAATAACATTAAATTACAAAATGGCGTGTGCAACATTTTATATGTGCTATATTAATTAAAACATTTTTTTTTTAAAGTGGAGTTACCCTTTGAAGTGTAAAACCAAAACTTTTTTTAGTTTTCAGGGCCCGCATGTCCACACCAGATCTGGATGCGTTTCTGCAGATGTGGTACGTTGCATTTTTGATGCGTTTGTGACTTGTTCCAGTGCGTTTTTTAAGCCTGAATGGACTGTCAGGTGTGTTCCACTGCATTGCATGCAATTTATGATGCGTTTACATGCATTTGGGTGTGTTCCAGACCAGAAAAAATGGTGCATGCAGTAATTTTTTCCCCCGCACTGGAACCACATTGGTGTGAAAGGAACCCAGAAATATCATAGCAATACATGGGGCTCTAGACTAAGTCGTGAAGTGACGTAAAATGTAGGGTGCAGCTATTGGGCGCAGAGTGGAGCAAAGGATATAGTGGTACGGTCTGAATCCCTATTCAGCCAGGCAACTACATTAGGCAGCCAAACGGCTTATCGGAGACCGATTGTTACTGATGATGATAAGTGTAGATGTTTGTCAACATGCGAGTAGTTTTTAATAAAACATTAAATGATTTTACGCTCTGGGGTTATTTACTCGGCTCCCCTCTGAACTGGGACGGACCTTTTTCCAGGTTTCCTCCTGGAAGAGAACCTGGCACGGGGACAAGGGCCTCTTCCCCAAAAGCCCTTGGGGTTGGTTGTGGGGTCTTATTTGCATTGAGGTACCCCCTTTAATCAGATGCTGCCCCCCCCCTTATGAATGAGTAAGTGGTACCTGTACTCCTACTCATTCACTAAAGGGATAAATAAAAATGCACCACGCTTTTGAAAGTCTTTAATAAAAATAAAAAAATAAAAGGTTTTTGACAATTCCTTTAATGAAAGAAAAAAAAAAAACAACCCCCCAAAAAATGTAAAAATATTTGATCCAACAAAGTAATCCATGTCAATCGCGGCGTCCAGTGTTGTCAACGCCGACTCACAGAAATACATTACATTAAAAAAAAAAGCCTACTGACCCTTCTGCACGCACCGAACACACGCCCCAAAATTACCTGTATGACAGGTGCTGCAAAAAGTAAACAAATGGGCGGAGCTAGCAGGGACATCACTGCTGGCTCCGCCTGTATGATTTGGCCGGCACCTGTCATATGGGTCGGCTAAATGAAAACTGAGCGGGGCCAGCCATGATGTTCCTGCTGGCTACAGCCCAGCCTTAGGTCATTTGAGGACACTTGGCTGTCACTGTGACAACTGGGATGAGCCAGCCGTGACATCAGGCCGGCTCCGCCCAGTTTACTTTTTGCAGGGAGAACAGTCTGCTTCAGCAGACCGTTCTCACCGCTTCGACACGGTTGAGCCGAAGCATATGCGTTCAGCTCGGCTGAACCATTCGCCTGCTGTACGGGCTATTGTGAATAGCCTGTACAGCAGCCCTTTGGTTCGGCTGAACGGGAAAGGCTTTGGCGGCCGAATTGAGCCGAACAATTAGCCGATGCTTCGGCTTAATAGTGAATAACCCACTATGAGTTCCATTGTGAAATATTTTAGATTGTGGATATATTTTAGATTAAGTTGTTAATGTGCGGGACAATTTGTGCTTATTATACATTACATTATCAGGCTGTGCTTCCTGCTTGGCAGTGCTAGTGTGTTTTACCACTCCATCTCACAATGCAAGTCTTTGAGTCGGCTGATTTCATTAAAAAATATGCACTATTGTACCCATAATTGTCCATAGGTGACGCTTTAACTCTAAAATGATGAGTAGTAAAGGCTTTTAAAGTGATGTTAAAGTCAAAAGGTTTTTAAGCTACTTCAAATGCTGATTTAAGTCACTTACAATTTCCTGCAGAATCAGCTGTTCCCTGAGCACAGCCTCTGATATCCTGTTGTAGAATGGGTCCTTTCCCTTGCAGGGTCCCATTGTGCTGCCCTTGTGTGGGTTAGTAAGCTGTGTCCACAGATACAGCAAGGCAACACCTTACCTCCCGCCAGCTCCCCTCTCCTCCTTCCCTGTCCAGAGTAGATGGACAGCTGCTGCAATCTGATCTTGTACTAGACCGAAAGTTCAGGGAAGTGAATTGCTTTGGCGCAAATATAAATACTTTGCTGGGCAATGTATATTTGTTTGATCTGGATTCCTTATTGAAAAAAGGTTTGAGAGCGTAATACTACTTTAACAGTGAGTGATGGCCTTTCAGTTATTGCTCTCACTGCAAAGTTTGCTGCAATATGTAACATGACCCAATTGATGTTTTCGTATGTAGATGCACCCGATACGTGTTTGCATTTGCATGTGGGGGTGGAGGACTTTAACACTGTGGGTTTTTTTTTATTTCATTTTTTTTTGTATGTCACTTGATTTTTTGGAACCAAAAACAGTACCAATGGTGCAGCAGCTGTGATCTTGGTTTTAGCCACTAAAGTACCAAACGTTTATATATGTATGTCAGTACTAAAGTAGTTAACAAAAGGACAGATATAATAACGGGTGTGGAAATTTCTAAAACAAACTACTTATCCAAGGACTAAAACAGGAGCCTAATCTACTTGTCCCTCATGACAATCTACTTGTCGTGATACAAAAAATAATTTTAACCAAAAATGTGTTTAACCATGCTAAGAAGCACTTCTCATTGGTCAGCGTTGTCAGGTGACTGTGCTGATCAACGAATGCTCACAATTTTTTAGCAAAATTCAAAATCCATAGTACACCCATACTGGCGGAGGGGAAGGAATGTTCGCCGAAAGGTAAGTATAGCAGGTGGTGGCGAGGGGGGCAGATATGAGCGGCTAATTCCATTTTCCCAGGTTATATGGGAAAGTGAACATACACTTTTAATGCACATTTGTGCATGTTAGGCTGGGTTCACACCTAGGCGTATTGAATATGCGCGTTTTTACCGCGATTCGCGGTAAAAAAAAAACGCGCAACGAACGCCCGTTTCTGAGGGCTACTTGGCTGTATCCCAATGGAAACGCGAGACCAAAACCCCCCAAAGAAGTACATGTTCTTCTTTGGGCGTAGGCCGTTTTGTATCGCGTTCGGACGGGCGGAAATACGGCAAGGTGTGAACCAGAGCCATTGAATGCAATGGGATTTAGATGTTTGAGCGTTTTGTAGAGCGTTCGTCGAGCGTTGAACGCGCTACAAAACGTTCAGGTGTGAACCAGGCCTTAGAGAAAGCGGCTGCCCGGCTACCACAATATGGCACTCAGTGGAATGAGGCCAGCACTCGGCACACATACACACAATGCCCTAGCTGTGTGTTTATGCGCATGCAGATGGCGGGGTTGGTTTAAATTTTTTTGACTTTTTTTTTTATATATTTTGTTTACTTTTTTTAGACTTTTTGTTTTTACACTTAACTTTATTGCTATCATACAGGGGCTACTAAGCCCCTATGTGACGGCATTGGCAGCTGACAGGTTCTCTTTATAAAGCCTGCCCTTCAATACAGGAATTTGAGCACAGCACTGTGCTGGATCTCCTGTGACAGCTGAGACAGGAAGGCTGTGAGTACAAGTGCTCCTGTCTCACTGTTCACACAGAGCAGACCAGAAAACGGATGTTCTCCACTCTGCTCCCTGCTCTCCATCCTGAAGTAACTTTGCTGTGGTCCCAGGGACCCCGAAAACCACGGCGGGGGGAGGGGGGCGGTCGGCGGGGAGAGAGGTGGCTGGCCAGAGGGGGGTGGCAGACGGACCAGCAGGCTGCTTACAAGTGATGGCTGTCCAGATCAGTTGTACAAAAGGCTACCCTGCTCTACATTTAGCCCTGCTGCTTGCCCGACAAAACAAAAACACCTGCAAGGTGCCCAGAACTGCATGTCCCAGGCGTCAGCCGATAGGAATTCCGCACCCCTGAATAATGTCACATCAATTAATAATTTTTAAGGTAAATATTTATAAAGTATTATGTGCTCACTAGAAATGCGCCATTCTTTAGGTATTTAAAAGCTGTCCCTCCAAAGGGACTTCTTTTTTTTGCAGTTTTTTGCTTTCATAAGTAACCAATTTTTTTCTCATGTTAGATATTTGAATGGTGGTATTTTCGCAAGTATGGAACATCGTTCATTGAACAAGTCTCTGTGAGCCACTTGCGCCCTCTATTGGGAGGTGTTGACAACAGCACACCAAGTAACTCGAATACAAGTAATGGAGATGCTGACTCAAGTCGACAAAGTGTTTCAGGTATGAGGCATTTATGCTTGAAACAGCTAATCTTACCTTAGATTCTATTATGTACAGAGGATACTGACTGTATGTCAGCTGAGACATGTGATTTAATCATAAGCAAAGCTCGCAATTGTGAGTTACCACGGTCAGAGTGAAAATAGGTGAGAGGACAAGGTTCTAGTGTTTTATTGTCCTTCTACTCTTGACGTTGGCTTTCACACAAGCATGTAAAATGTGGCCGTCCAGGCACTGAGCACACATGTCCTACACTGCCAAGATGCTTAGTTGCAATGGTTTAAAATTATATTGGGCATATAGGACTGCCTTAAAGGAGACCTCCGTCAAGCCTAGAACACTCAAGCAAAAGTGTGTGTGGGGGGGCTTGGATGGCTACTCAACTGTAGAGTCTGAGCATGGGAGCAAAGAGTCTGGTGTTTGTCCTGTGGAAGCAAATCCTTGCAATGGGCCATATACAGGACCAGACCTAAATACTCCCAAATGATTATATGGTTCCAGGACTGGCTTCTGGAGATTTAGTATCCACTTGAACCTCTGTAGGGTCTGAACAGTCCACAGAACTCTGGCAGAGCCTGCACTGACTATTCTCTCAGAAGAAATTCCTCCAGATATCCTACTGTGGATATGCCTTGAGAGCGAAGCAGAGCAAGAACAAGGGCTAGAACCTGGGTGAAAAACCCAAGGCGCAGTGTACAGACTAAATGAAAGGGCAACAAATTGATAATGCTGCTTGCCCACTGCAAAACATAGGTAGTATTGATGCACTGGGAATACGAGGACATAAAAGTAGGCATCTTTGTTTGCCGATGCTAGAAGGTTTCCTGGGTGGAGGGAAGCAATGACTGACCCTGAAGATTCTTTGTGAAATTTGTGTACCTCTAGAAAGTGGTTGAGATTCAGTGTGGGGTGTCCCTCCCCACTGTGACCTTTTTGATAAAGTTCTCTAGGGATTCACTCGAGGCCTGCGCCTACCCCTAAGAGAGGAGTTTCTTGCACTGATGGCCTGCAGACCAACATTTGAACCAAAAGGTCCTCTACATGTGTACTGAAAGGAGGCCTATGTTTGATATTTCCGCTAGCTTGTCAACAAAGTAGAGTAGGGCCACAGGCATGACTTTCAGTTGTTGGAAGACAAAAGGATCCATTGGGATAGATCCAAGGATAGGGTACAATTTCCACTGTCTTCAGTTGACAGTGCAGAAGCAGTTGCAGCCCCAGCGATATCAGAGATGGAAATGTGGAGGAGAGAGCATGGAAGCCCGCTTGCGGCCCCTGGGTTCCGAGTTGTTTAACATGGCTGAAATTGTATCCCGATACTTCCTCCCTAGATAAAACAGAGGAGGGGGTTGCCCCTGAAGGGGTTGAGGAAGACTAAAGCTGGCCATACACTAGTAGATTTTCGAGGGAATGTTTGTACAAAAGATCTTTCAGTTGATAATGCCATTAGACACATGATGATTTTTTTTTTTTAACGGTCAATTTTGGAATGAATGGAGTTTCCCCGAATGGAAACCACATTCATTATTAGAATTTCGTAAATTCAAGAAAAAATTTCCATCATGCTCCTTCAAGTTTCTTCGTCATTATGGTTGAAATCGATTGTCTATTTGAACCCATCAACTAATGGAAAGTTGAATGAAAGTTCTTTCATACAAAAGTCTAAGCAGTGTATGGCCAGCGTAAGGAGTGTTGGCAGGAAACAGTGGTCTGGGCTATCTGTGTCAGGTCTCGTAGAGCGAACACTGTAAAAAAAAACCTCCACGGCACTATTAGAGGATTGTAAGGCCCCCAGGACCATTATTATTCTTTATTATTATTCAGCACTGATATAATAGTGCTGTACAACAAATGGAAAGGCATGTAGCTACTATAATCAATGTACTCCTAATTACAGTATTTCGCACAATCCATACTGTGTGTGCTTTGACGTGCATGTGTTTTACAAGTTATCTAAGACAGCGGTGATTGTTGAAATGTTTCTTCTGTGCTGCTTGCTGTATGTATTCTATGCTTCTGGGTTGTATAATAACTGCTCGCCCGCAGCACCCTGTTTATCCCACCCCCTTGTATGTAACTACAGTATATACAAGCCTGTAGGAAGAACCACATGGTCCAGTGAGGGCAACAGATATTTGACTCCTCTGGCAGGTTGAATACCAATTATTTTTATACATTTCTCAGCTTCCTACTTCTATACCAATGAGTGTGTGCATTGTTTGGAAGTATGATTGTTACCATTTGGCTTTTTTCTTGATTAAATTTGTATCAATCAAACTCTGGCCACTGCCGCTGGCATGATATAAAATAGTGCGTAAACCTTTCTGGTTCATTGTTCCTTGCAATCCATGTATCTACATTATTACAACCAAAGCACCCCTTATACCATTCCATTTCCCCCACCATACTTGACCTGAGGCATCAAGCACTCATACAGTATTCTTTTATGTGCTATACATCTCAAGTATGTTCTCGATTTAAACCCCTTAAGCAGAGACCTTGATCTATAGTACTCGTTTCCAGTCATCCACCATTCTTTTGTTCTTTTGCCCATTTAAGCCCCGTTCACATTGAGCGATTTATCGCGTGGTAATTCCCGCGATATCGCGGCAAATTACCGCGCGATATCGCGCTCCAATGCATTTCAATGGGGCAAAGGGTCCTGCTGTCGTGTGTCGCTACAGCAGGACCCTTTTTGGAGCGGATTTAGCCGCGATTCAAGCTTGCTCAATGCAAGCTTGAACGCAATATCGCGCGGCAAATCTCGCGCAATATGCAAATCACACGATTTGCATATCGCGCAGTGGAAACGAGGCCTAAACCTGTTCAGTTCCAGATTTGGCTTTCCTTTAGAAGCTCTGTCCAGCATCCGAGTTTTGTATGTATTATTTAGGGAGCAACCAATTCAGGGCCTATAAGGTTTCTGTTTCTCAAATTGTAGATTTAAAATGTACTTTTCCTCTCGTGTGGTTGTGTATCTAAGCTTTTGTATCTTTCCTAATTGGATCTAGTTTGCCCTCCTCTCTCAAGATGCTAGTCAAGACCTTTTGTATGTTCAGTTTGGCAACTTGATGTAGAAATAACCTCCATTTTGCAAAAAAAACCTGACTTGTTTGCTGAGAATGCTATGTCAGTTTGGCTATTTCTGAACCTGAAAGTGAACTTTTGTATTGTCAGTACCATGCAACAATAGGAAAGCATTTGCTTGCTTTTTTAAAAAAAACATAAAGGCCCATCAGTAGGACACTACAGAATGAATTCTGAAAGTGAAGCTTCGCAGTAATGTGGAAACATATTCTAAATTGGTCATTTCAATCAGCACCAACCATTCACAACATTTAAGATATGTCTTGGCTGTATTTTTAAATCCATATAATGGCACATTGATATAGGTAATTGCTTTCGAAGTTTATATACCTGCACACAAGCAAAAGCATCCATGTATACACAGGCACACAAATTGCCATGTTGTAGAGAGCTTTTTCTCCAGAGACTGCCAGGTACTTCCATACTCAGAAAAGTGCCAGCAATCTCTCACCCAGCATACTAAAGACAGGTAGACATTCCAATATGTATGTGTAGCTGATGTCGCTTTCATACTTGTGAGGGCCACATGGTAAAGTGCTTGGCACACAGGTGGTAGCCATAATTTGTCAGTACGCTGGAGAACTGAAAGTTAGGAACTGCTATTGCAAACTTGTTTTCAAAATATACAAGCTCTGAGGCTGCCATCTTGATCTTGGGTTGACTACCTTATTAATCACTTGTCTGGACATGTATATAGGATGGTGGTCTCATAGTCTTAGGGGTCACCATTGCAGTGACGCATTTCATTTGAAATATAGAAGGAAATTGAAGTAGAGAGTGCACAAGATGAAAACTTTGAGCCAATGGAATTGCTACCATCTGGATCCAGTTTTAGGATCAGTGTTGTATGGCTTTGATGGACAAATGCAGAATGCACGTCTGAGATCATTCAGAGTTTATTGCAGCTGCATTTTCCTGTATTTGACCTGCTTCAGCTGCTTTTGTGTTCCCATAGACTTGTATGGGGAGAAAAACAGTTGTGAAGTGAACAAGACAGCTGGCGCTTAGGAGAACCGGAAAGAAGAGCTTGGAGAGGGTTGCAATTACAAAATTTACATTTGCCGCTCACTGGGTTTTTGTTTTGTTTTTTTATAATCCCTGGATCTGTTTGTTCAGTAGAGATCCTTTTGAAATATGTAATCGGCAATATCAAGTTTTTTTTCTGTCTCATTTTAAACTTTTTGTTTTTTTCTAAAACAGAGTGTAAAGTGTGGCGAAATCCCTTAAATCTATTTCGAGGAGCAGAATATAACCGGTAAGGAATATTGCCAATGTACTTCAACAGTTGTCATTTTGATGGCTTGAATACCATTTCTTCAACACATGTAATTGTGGTGCTTTTACAGGGAGTTTAAATATTACATTTTGTTCCATTATTTATTTGTTGGTTTGTAATATATTCTCTAGATCATTGTTCCTGTCAAATCTTTGCATTTTCATGTTTTCAATATTCATAGAACTATTTTATCTTGTAACTATTATATTTATCGTCCTAATACTACTTTACTCAACCAGTTGTATATGTATCTGTTCATTTATCATCACATTATTGTATGGATGGATCATTTTACCTGTACCCTTTGATGGTTGTAAATAGGGCACACAATGTGCCCTGGGTCTTGTTGATCACTTTTTCCTTTGTTTCCACAAAACCATTCCTGATGACATGTGGCTATTTCCTTTAAACCTAGTTTGTTTACTAGCCCTGTACACACCTAGGCATAGGTTTTCTTAGGATTTTTTTAGGTGCTTTTTTGTAAAGGTTTTTGAGTGTTTCTATTGGGCTGCAGCTGATTATTTTCAAAATCGATTGGTTAGCCGATTTTATTAAGTTCGATTTTAATCTGATTTTTTTTTTTTTTTGTAAAAGGCTCCAGTGATGGACTTCTAGTTTATATTGAGATTGTAGTCCGTCATGGGAGCAAGCTTGGAGTGGTGGAAGTAAACAAAATAAAAATAAAAGTGTGATGTGCAATATAGTGAAATGGAAAGTGGAAAATTATACAGCAATCAATGCAGAATACCACCAGCTATAGAGGACTACAAATCCCAGCAATACATTATACAGCAGGGCAATGCACAATACCACCAGCTATAGAGTAGAGTAGAGTATTCCCCGCCCCTGGATTTCCACTCGCCCCCACGCAATTTTCACTCGCCAATTGCGAGGGGGCGAGTGGAAATTTTGAGCCCTGGTATAATGTATTATTGCTGGGATTTGTTGTATTCCTTTATAGCTGGTGGTGGTGTTGCTGGGATTTGTTGTATTCCTTTATAGCTGGTGGTGTTCTGCATTGCGCTGTATAAGAATTATACAGCGCAATGCAGAATACCACCAGCTATAGAGGAATACAACAAATCCCAGCAATACATTATTCCTTCTATAGCTGAAGTTACATTGCCCTGTATAATATATAGCGCAATGTGCTATCAGCTATAGAGGAATACAAATCCCACTATCCCAGTAATACAGCACCATGTGGGAGGAAAGTGCAGGCAGTTTTACTTAAACATTCTCCAAGCAACTTTCTTCCCTGAGATCGTGGGCCTGTCTCGTGGCAGCTGCCCATCCAGCCACGCCTGCGCCCCCTGGCTTCATGTTCAGTGTGCCAATCGTGGATGGGCGAACAGCGGCAAGTCCATGAGAGGAGGTGCGGCATGTGTGGAGCCGCGAGCAGGCCAACTAATCGAAATTCAACTAATCGATGTAAAAATGTTGACAACATTTTCCATCATCGATTATAATTGACATAGCCCTAGATTCTATGTACATATTCACGCGTTTTTTAAGCTTTTTGCAGATGTTCAGCTTCAGATGTTTCTCTATTTGGCTCAATGGAAAACAGTGGTATCTGGGACATCATTAAAAAGCACTGGGGGTGCACCGAAATGGCAGTTTTGGCTAAATGCTGAAAGTACCATCTTTTGGACAAATTTGTGGTACATGCCTAGTTTTTCTCCTTCCCGCTGTGCGCTGCTATGTCCCCTCTAAGCACAGTGTCCAGTGGGGAGGAGAGAAACTGTCAGGAGGCCGAACGGTGCAGGGAGGAGAGCGCTGTGAGCGGCAATGTCCCAGCAGGCCGGGCTCTCCTCCTGCACTGCTCCATCTTCTGTGACCGATCAGATTGGAGAGCGATGTGGGGGAGGAGTCAGCTATCACAGGAGGCCGAGGTGGCGGTGCGAGGGGAGGAGTAAGCTGTCAAAAGAGACAGAGCTCTCCTTGCTCCACCGGCTCACCCTCCTGTGACAGCTGCAAGAGTCAGGATGGATAGCGATTACAAGCAGCCAGTGATCTCTGACTGTAAATAATTGAGGACATAGTATGTTTACTGTGTCCCCAATTATGAATAAATTGAAAGTGCTCTCCATCACTTCCTGTTCATTCATGATTGTGGACATAGTATCTCCACAAGTTATGAATGAACAGGAACGCTCAGTATAGATGCTTCCTGTTCATTTATAACAGGGGCTGCAGAAAAAGAGATTATGGACTCGATCTTCTTTTTTTTTTTTTCTATTTTAAAAGGGAAATATCAGGGGTCTGTTTAGACCCCCTTATATTTCCCCAAAGCCCCCAACAATAAAGCTCTTGTACTTTTGTACATGAATAGGGACCATAGAAAACAATGGGATTCCTTGTGTATTACAAAACTCCTATTTTATTTTCCTTAAGGCCCCTTTAACCCTTTCGCTGCCAAGCCCTCCGGAACATTTTTCAAATCAGCTGGCCAAGCCATTTTTGAATTTTCTGCAATTTTTTCCTATTGATTTGATTTTCAACTGCTGCGTTGCTAGCGTTTGTAAAAGACCCCCCAAACCATATATTTTCTGAAAGCGCAGGCCCGGTAGAATAAAAAGATGGTGATACTAAATTTGTAGGCCCTGCGATAATTGCGCAAATGTTTCTCAAATTAATATTAAACCGATAAAAATACACAATTCAATTGTTAAAACACACCAAAATCAGTATCCGTGCACAAAAAAAAATATTTTTTGACTAAATCTAAAAGATAAAACTGTATTGAGTTAATAAATAACAAATATTAGCAAATTTGTAATTGCGCCTTTTTGCGAAAAGGTAAAAAAATGAAGGTATGCAAAACTGTAAATAATCGACTTATGTAAAAAATTGTTTTGGTGTTTGTGTTGTGATAAAATGATACAGGTGTATATTTAATTGCAACACAAGGTATCGCAACGCATGGCAATGAGTCACAAAGCTTTGCCCTGCGCTGCCACAGTTAATTTAATGTTTTTTTTTAAAGAAAAAAAATAAATAAAAAAGATCATGCACTGCGATGCGTTCTAACAACGCACCGCAGCGCATGTGCATGGTGTGCACCACAATATGTGTGTGTTATGTGGGGGGAGGGAGGGGTTGTGCTTTTTTTTATTATTTTTTTTTTTTTTACACATTTTTTATTTTTTTTAAATAATTTTATTTTGTTTTACATTTTTTTATTTTAATTTTTTTAACATTTTTTATTTATTTTTTAATAATTTTGTATTTATTTTTTTTACTGTTGGGGGGGCTACGGTGAAATCTCTGGGGTCTAAACAGACCCCTGACATTTCCCTTTTGAAATAGAAAAAGAAATTGAGGACACCAAATCCTCAATTTATTTTTCTGCAGCCTCAGCACTCAATGAATGGGAAGCACTCAGTACAGAGGCTTCCCATTCCATTCAGAAACTGCTGATAGTAAAATATTTACTATCAAGCAGTTTATGAATGGGGAGAAGCCTCCATAGGGAGTGCTACTCCCCATTCAGAAATTCATGAATGAACAGGCTGTGATGTAAATCACAGCCTGTTCATTCATAACTGGGGACACATAGTACTATGGGGGTTATTCACAAAGCTGCCGAAGGATCTAGCCATAGCTTCGGCTGATCCTTCGGCTAGCTTCGGCCCCAGGACCCCTTCGGTTGAGTAGAACTGAAGGGCTGCTGTACGGGCTATTCACTTGAGCCCGTACAGCTCCCGAAGTTGGCCGAGCGGCTCAGTCGAGCCGAAGGCATATGCTTCGGCTCAACTGAGCCGAGGTGAAAGCCGAAGCTGGAACGGCTGGCCGACAACCTGCTACTGACAGCTTGGCGGAGCCAGCCATCATCTCACGGTTGGCTCCGGCCACTTGCATGCAGAGACAGATCAGCGTCCCCTGGTTAGCAGCTAACCACGGACGCTGATGTGTCATTACACTGAGAACCCGGCGGAGCCGCTGTGATATCACGGCGGCTCCGCCAGGTTCTCAGTGTGTAATGACAGTTCAGCATCTCCTGGTTATCTAGTAACCAGGGGACGCTGGACTGTCATTACACACTGAGAACCCGGCGGAGCCACCATATCACGGCGGCTCCGCCGGGTTCTCAGTGTGTAATGACAGTTCAGCATCTCCTGGTTACCTAGTAACCAGGGGACGCTGGACTGCCATTACACACTGAGAACCTGGCGAAACCGCCATTATATCCCAGCGGCTCCGCCAGGTTCTCAGTGTGCAATGACAGTTCAGCATCTCCTGGTTACCTAGTAACCAGGCGCCCTGGACTGTCATGAGAGCTTGTCGGAGCCGGCTTTGATATGACCGCCGGTTCCGACAAGCTCTCATTTTAATGACAACTGGTCCCGTGCAATAGAAAAAGTTTGGCGGAGCTAGCTGTCACTGCTAGCTCCGCCCAATCATTTTCTCATTTTTCTCTACTTTTTCTATTCTGCTCGGTACCACAGAGGTACCGAGCAGAATAGAATAACTGAGCCGAAGGGCGCTCTCCGGCATTCGGCTATTCACTCACTGCTGTTTGGGCCCTATGAGAATAGGCCGAACAGCAACGAGTAGCCTGCCGGAGGTTCGGCTAAGCCGATCCAGATGTTGGATTAGCTGAGTCAAACTCCTTCTGCACTTCGGCCGACCCAAACCCAGCCGCAGCAAGCCGTTGTACGGCTGATTTCAGTCGGTGTACGGCTGAAATCAGCTGTACAAGCCTGAAGTGAATAGCCAAACGGCGTTCGGCTCACTTCACTTCGTGTTGGTTATTCACACGGCTGCCTTCGGCAGCTTTGTGAATAACCCCCTATGTGTCCCCAGTTATTTACAAACACCGGAGTGATCACGCGATCACTCCGGTGTTTGTGCTGCACAGAGGATCGGTAAATATCAATGATACTTATCGATCCTCCGTACGGCCACGCACAGAGCCGCTGTCATCCGGAAACTGACATGATGACAGCGGCTCCGTTCTCCTCACCGCTCAGCCA